AACAAAACACAGAGTCACGTGTGTTTGTTTACACTCGCAGACATAGATCCAAACACTGGGATTATTTTCTTTTTACGGACAATCGGTTTGAGTCTGGATTAAAAGGACATTTATTAGTGCAGATTTGTGATGTGAGGAGGAGCCTGTGTGAGTCTGAGTGTTGGAAATACATCGACTTTGAAGCTAGTTTTTGGTTAGCTATTAGCTGCTGTAGCTCCCGCACATAAACAGACTGTTTTCCATTGGTCTATTGTAAAGTGATTATATTGGCCATATATTTGTTACTGGACCTGTATTGATATGTACATGAGCTGTGAATAGACGTGTGAATGATGAAATTTGCGCATATAATTAATTACCGCGGCGCACAAGCATTTACGGCTAAATGCTAATAGCGATTGTTTATTTACTCACTAGCAGTGATGGGTCGGTCGCGAACGAAGCGGCTCTTAGAGCCGGCTCTTTGAAGCGAACGACGGGAGCCTGATCCTTATTGGGAATGGGAGTGGTGTTTTCTCTTTTTCTCACTTTTTTTCTCTTCACGCCGCGTGCAGACTCTTGGTAGTTTGACAGCGGCAGCGGCTAAAAACGAAACTTTCAAAAATATGCGTGTGCATAGGGTAAAAAAAAAATGTGCATAAATATATTCAGCATAAAATAAATAAACCAGGACTAATCTTGGGGTCGAGAGAGGGAGAGAGATAGAGACCGAGTCCCGACACTCAGTCCTGGTTCAGTTCTGGTTTAGTCCTGTTTTACACATGGTTTAGATCTGTTTTAGTCCTGTTTTAGTGCTTTTTCAGTCCTGGTTCAGTTCTGGTTTAGTCCTGCTTTAGACCTGCTTTAGTCCTATGACATATCATGTAACGAGGCAGAATAACAATAAATGTTGCCTAAATAAACCCAGTTTAAAATCCACAAGAGCCAAACCTATGTTTTTTTTTAAATAATTCAAGATTTACAGTGAATTTTTACATCACTAAATATATCGGCGATTATATCGGCTATCAGCAGCTCCAACTCCTATTATATCGGTATCATATCGGCAACAACAAAATCCATATCGGTCAGGCTCTAGTGGAGAGTCCCGTCAGATGTTTTTCTGTGGAGAGGCGCCCCCGCTCACAGTCAGAATGTTTGTTTTTCTAGGTATTCTTGAGCTTTAAAACCACCTGTAATTTAATAAATGTAAAGTAGAGCTGTTTAAAGTCGCACTGTGGAACATTTCAAGCAGCGCAATAACCAAATGTTACACAGTGCATCTTTAGGTCATATTATAATGTTATTATGGTCTCAAAAACATCTGGTGTCATGGATGAAGTGGGCGTGGTACACAGGGTTACGCTGTCCACCCCCTTCTCCCGACGTGAAATATAAAAAAACAAAACAAATATAAAATAGCTACAACTTAAATGTCAAACCGGACCTACTGGCAACGCTGAAAACAAGCTGTATAGACTCGATATCTACAGTACTGTCCTATAGTGACCTGCCACATGAGGGACTAGGACTGAACCAGGACTGAACCAGGACTGAACCAGGACTGAGTGTAGGGACGGGCCTGGAGGTGCGACTGCGTAGATTGTCAGGTGACCACAGGAGAAAAGATGGGCGAAAGGAACACCACGCATGAACCGGAACTGCTCCCGCTGGTTCAGGCGTCTGGTTTGGATCTAGTCCGATTGTAGCATCTCTCACACTAAACTAAAAGCAGTTTTTAAGTTGAATCAATTGAACAGGCTATTGCCTATTTTCGAGTTTCAGCTGATGTCATTGTTATTAAAAGCCCGCGTTGCATGCTGGGAAATATTTTGGTCGGAGGCAAGAAACACAATAGCGTCAAACACAGTGCATAACCTCGTGTATTTATCCCCGATAATGGTAAATTCCTGCTGCATTATCGGATGCACAAATAGAAGCACGGAAGAAGAAAAATGTCTTTTTCGTATTCCGAGTGAAAAGAACCGCTAACGGTGAATTAAACGGCTTTCAAACATCCGCAGAGCAAACGTAGAAGATCCTAACAAACCGTGGACTCCAACAAGTTCAACAACACATCAAGACTCTTGGAGGTTTTCATCTTTTCTGCTGTGAATGGCCCAGGAGTTTCCACCAAGTCATTGTGGATATCGCCCAAGTGAATATTTGTCCAGGTAGTTGGCGATTCTGACCAGAAATTTGGTTTGGTCCACTTTTTGTAGGGGTTGAAAAGGGTGATTTGGTGTCCATCGATGCTTATGACCAATTTCTGGTTAAATTGTCTTCGGTCCTCTGCCCAATCAATACCCTTTACTTGCCTGGATCAATACCCTTTACGTGCTTTCTCGCTCCGTCCGTCATGTTGAATTAGTGTTTCTTGCCGCCGGCCAAAATAATTCCCAGCATGCAACACACGCTTTTGTCAACAATGAAACTCGCCTATACATGCATCCCAAAATTCTGACTTCCAGTCATCGCGCAATGCATACTGGGAAGGATTTTCCAAAAAAGTGAGCATCAAACGGCCATGTTTGTTTTCCCAGTGGGATGTGTCTATTGTCAAAGTCGATCTTTTCAAGTCTTTTGAACCATATCACTTTTGTTTCTGGTTCTGATATTGTCATATAGTTTTACGATTCGGACATCGTAATTGTGTGGTTGTTGGATCTTAACAGCGGAAAACGGCTCTTCGGAAGTTTGTGAACTCCATAACTGCAAAAGTGAATCAGATGTGTGTGACTGCAAACCTCTGTTCAAACTGTTTCTCTTCCCAACAGAATTGAAAAATGGTGAAAAGTGAAGGCGATGGGCAGGGTTGATCCACAGGAAGGACCAAAAAGGAAACCTTTGACTGCCTAAGAATTTAGGCATTTTATTTTCTTCCTTGTTTCTTCCTGGCTTAATCCTAAAATTATCCAAATGATTCTAGCGAACTTGTATGGAGTTTAAAAACACAGTGGAGCACTTCCTGTATCACCACTCAGTGACATCACAAGGTAGAACAGAGTGTTTTCAGTTTGAGAGAAGAACCTAAATATGCAGGGTTTGTGTGAATGAAACAAAACACAACTCCAGGTCTGTTTGTGATGAGGAAACAACATTATAACATCAGAAAATAGCATAATATGGGCCTTTTAAGTCCTGGTTTAGTTCTCATTCATTCCAGGGTAAATTTTGATTTATTTTTGCATATTATAGTGTTTTAGATTTGGTTCTATTTTAGTCCTGGTTGAGTCCTTGTTTGGTCCTGGTTTAGTCTTGGCTCCTGGTTTAATTGCCTGAAAGCTGTCTCCATGGCGACCACCAGGAAAGTTACACAGTGTACCTGTTTATAATGTTAATATTGACATGAATTTCAGTCAAGTGGAAACTGACGACAGGCAACAAAATCCACACAACCCCAGGCGATAATTCTGATGAGGGACATTAAAACACGGTTAAAATATAACTTATAACTCAGTCCTGGTTTAGTTCTAGTTTAGTTCTGGTTTAGTTCTAGTTTAGTTCTGGTTTAGTTCTAGTTTACTTATGGTTTAGTTCTAGTTTACTTATGGTTTAGTTCTGGTTTAGTCCTGGTATCGTTCTAGTTTAGTCCTGGTTTACTTCTAATTTAGTCCGGGTTTAGTCCTGGTATAGTCCCGGTGTAGCCCTGGTTTAGTCCTGGTGTAGCCCTGGTTTCTTCCCGATATAGTCCTTGTATAATCCTGGTTTAGTCCTGGTGTAGTCCTGGTATAATCCTGGTTTCGTTCTAGTTTAGTCCTGGTTTACTTCTAAGTTAGTCCTGGTGTAGTCCTGGTTTAGTCCTGGTATAGTCCCGGTGTAGTCCTGGTGTATTCCTGGTATAATCCTGGTGTAGTCCTGGTTTACTTCTAATTTAGTCCTGGTGTAGTCCTGGTTTAGTCCTGGTGTAGTCCTGGTTTCTTCCTGATATAGTCCTGGTATAATCCTGGTTTAGTTCTGATTTAATCCTGGTTTATTTCTGGTATAGTCCTGGTTTAGTTCTAGTTTAGTCCTGCTTTAGTCCTGGTTTCTCCCTGCTGTCGATCTTGTTTGGTCTAGGATGAGTCCTGATTTTGTCCTGTGTACTCCTGGTTTAGTTCTAGTATATTCCTGGTGTAGTCCTGATATAGTCCTGGTTTGGTCCTGGTGTTGTTCTTATTTCTTCCTGGTATAGTCCTGGTTTAATCCTGGTGTAGTCCAGGTTTAGTCCTGGTTTAGTTTGGTTATCATAGATCGAACAAGAATGGCACCTCATTCTTGTAAGGTCTAGGATGAGTCCTGATTTAGTCCTGGTATAGTCCTGGTTTAGTTGTAGTTTAGTCCTAGTTAAGTCCTGGTTTTTCCCTGCTGTCGATCTTGTTCGGTCTAGGATGAGTCCTGATTTAGTCCTGGCATACTCCTGGTTTAGTTCTAGCATAGTCCTGCTTTAGTCCTGGTTTAGTCCTGGTTTAATCCTGGTATAGTCCTGGTATAATCCTGGTATAGTCCTGATACAGTCCTGGTTTAGTCCTGGTATAGTCCTGCCCATTATTAGTGCATATATAACATCACCCTCGGCGTGTGTAACGTACAGACTTAAACCTTCGCCTTTTCCATGACACTATTACGTTTTTGGATCGCACATTTTCAGTTACATGACCAGCCTCTGTGCGAATAAACGTGTTGAACCTGCAGTACCAAGTTTACCCTGCTAGGCGGCGCTTGTCCCTGCCACAAAAGTGCAAAAATTCCCCCCCTTTCTGCTACGTGCGCGCAACACAACCTCACTGTACCCGAGCACATCGCACCACCATCACCAAAATCGCCATTACGCACGGCGAAATCACGCACAACTTGTAAAAAAATCGTTGGCCCCGTGCGTGTCCAGACATGGGTAGGGACACACGTACATAACATGCGCTACATCTGGCCGGATAATGAATAAAAAAAGTAAAACAGCAGATAAGCCGGTGGCCAATCAAAACGGGCGGAGAGGCGGCCAGCTGCGCGCTCATTGGTCCAAACCCACGAAGCGCTTGTGCCTTCTAGCTTCCATAGATAGATAGAGCCCTCTGCAGTCTCGCTGTTGCCTTTTGCACGGCTGCATCTCTAACATCTCTGGGTGTTTTTAGCCCTCTTTTCTAAACTACGCCACTTTCACGCGTTTCTCAAATCGGTAAGTTGTCATTTTTTGCATTTTTACGCACGCTTCGTCAGTCCACCGCGACGCAACCTGTGCCAAAAACCCGCCGTACGGACCCTTTCAGTCATTTCAATTTACCTTTTTTGGAGTCAAAGCTAGCGCAGTTTGCTTAAGCATCCTCGTACAGTTGATTTTTGAGGTGCAAAACGTGCTAAAATGTTGTGTTTTTACGCTGTTACGTTGTGTAATTATTGCTTTTTTTTCTACGCAGAGCATCATCCAAACCGTATAGCCAACATGACAGAAGCAGAGGTGACGGATAGCCAGCCCAAAACCAATGGAAACGTACACCCAGACATCAACACAGAAGACGTATTTGATCCCACGTACAAAGAGAAAGAAGGGCCCAAACCACCGCTAAACCTCGTATGGAAAAACGTGTTTTTAATGGGGATGTTGCATTTAGGAGCGTTATACGGCCTCTTTCTCATCCCGGCCGCATCTACGAACACCCTTCTATGGAGTGAGTATTACGAAAGCACGTCATATTGTTATGAATGCATGCTCCGAAATGAAATGAAGTGCACAGTTTGGACCATGCCACGCAAATCCTAGCAGCAGACACGCACGGTCCGCCCAAGATAAACATGCATTGTAATGTGGAGCGTTATCAAAAAGCAGCAAATGTAGGTCAAATCAACTGTGCCTCCTTATATTGATTTAAGGCAATTAAACTGGCACAAATGGGACTCCAAGGCTAGTTTTGAGGCTTATAAGTCAAATTAATGTGTTTTTAATGTAATTTTGAGGTAATTTTGACAATTTTGATCATTTACAAAGTCTGTAACATTATAGTCTATTGATTTAAGGCAGTTAAACTAGACAAAATGGGCTTCCAAGGCTAATTTTGAGGTTTAGTCAAAGTCAGATTAATGTGTCTTAAATGTTTTTTGACAATCTACAAAGCCTGTAGCGTCATAGTTTATTGATTTAAGACAATTAAACAGGTAGAAATGGGATTACAAGGCTAATTTTGAGGTTAATAAGTCAAAATTCACGTGTTTTATATGTTCTTTTTGTGGTCATGTTGACAATTTTAACAGTCTACAAAGCTTACAGCATCATAGTCTATTGATTTAAGACAATTAAACTGGTAGAAATGGGCATCCAAGGCTAGTTTTAGAGGTTGCAAGCCAAAAAATCAGGTGCTATTGCGGGCCACCAGTTGTAAAAACAAAAAACAAAAAACAAAAAAAACTGTTGTTGTGTCCTTAGGTAAGACACTTCACCCACATTGTCTAGTATGAAAGTGGCGTGTGCGTCTGTGAGTGATGGTGGTGGTCAGAGGGGCCGATGGTGCAGATTGGCAGCCTTGCTTCTGTCACTCTGTCCCAGGGCAGTTGTGGCTACAGTAGTAGTTTACCACCACCACTGAGTCTGGAGTGAATGAATAGGCTAATGCTCTGTAAACGGTCTTTGAGTGTCCAGAAAAGTGCTATATAAAACTGATGCATTGTTATTATTAAATTAATGTGTTTTAAATGTTCTTTTGTGGTAATTTGGACAATTTTGACAATCTACAAAGCATCAGGTTTATAAATGTCTATAATAAATGTTTATAAATAGGCTATTCATATTACGTAGCATTTCTTAGCCAATACTTTTTTTTTCCATTACAAATGTGTTTATGTATTAGGAAGTCTATAAAGCATCAGGTCTATGGAGGCATCTAGAATGGAAATACGTTACTTTATTATCTATAATCTATGCTATCATATTGTGTTTTTGATGACTCAAATTGGCATCTGATCACATCACAGAGCTTTTCTGAGACAATACATTTTCCATTACAGTTATGTTGATTTAATAGAGCTCATTTAATTGACATAAAGCGACTAAAAGGTTAGAAATGGACACCCAAGGTCAGTTTTAAAGTTAATATGTCAAATTATTGCGTTATTAATGTATTTCTGTAGTAATTTATGAAAGAAAATGACACAAGAAATGGGCGTTCAAGGATAGTTGTAAGGTTAAAAAGTCAAATTAATGTGTTATTAATCTTTTCTTGTAGAAATTTTGAGAGTCTAAAAAGCATCAGGTCTTTAAAGGTCTCTAAATTGGAAATACATTACTTTATTATTTATAATCGAGGCTATACTATTGTGTTTTTTGTACATTATTGATGACTCGAATTGGCATCTATTCACATCACAGAGCTTTTCTGAGCCAATACATTTTTCCATTACAGTTATGCTGATTTAATAGAGCTCATTTAATTGACATAAAGCAACTAAAAGGTTAGAAATTGGCGTTCAAGGCCAGTTTTAAGGTTATCAAGCCAGATTAATTATAAGATTAATGTGTTCTTGTAATCATTTTCACAATCTACAAAGGTTTATATAGGTCTCTAGAATGGAAATACAGTACTTTGCTGTCTATAATATTGATGACTCAAATTGGCGTATTCACATTACATACTGTATCTTTTCTTAGCTAATACATGTTTCCATTATATTGATTTAATCGAGCTCATTTAATTGACATAAAGCTACTTAAAGGTTAGAAATGAACACGCAAGGTCAGTTTTAAAGTTAATAAGTCAAATGAATATGTTATTAATGTCTATCTACAAAGTATCAGGTCTATAAAGGTCTCTAAAATGGAAATACATTACTTCACAGAGGCCAGAATTAAAAACTGAGACAAAGTCATGGGCCAGACTAAATATTTATTGAGAAATTTCAACAACATCTGCATGTTTTGTCTTCCTTTGAGATATGTAATGTTAAAACTTTTCTTATTGAAATAAATGTTTAATAATAGTTTTGCTTAAACATTGAATCCAGAACAAGCAAAATATAAAATAATAACAAACATTTTAATTAATAATGTGTCCATAGTCTATTTGTAGCCGGCGGGACAGCTCTAACACATTTTTGATATGATCTCGTGGGCCAAATATAAATATATCGTGGGCCAAATTTGGTCCCTGGGCCTGAGTTTGACATGTCTGACCTGGGCTATAATATTGTGTTTTTTGTACAGTACTGATGATTCAAATTAGCATCTATTCACATTACAGAGCTTTTCTTAGCCAATATATCTTTCCATTACAAATAAAAGGGCTCATTTAATTGACGAAAAGCAACTGAAAGATTACAAATGGACGTTTAAGGCTAGTTTTAAGGTCAGTGAGTGAAATTTACATGCTTTTAATGATTTTGTAGTCTTTTTGACAATCTATAAGGCCTATAACATCATATAATCTGTATGTGTAGAATTAAAATACTTTTGATGGTTATTAAGTGGGACCATTTTGTATTTGGTTCACTACTGATGACTCAAACCACATGGCAAATTCATATTTCATGGCTTTTCTCAGCCAATACATTTTTCCATTAGAAATACAGTATGTTCAATAATTAATACGGCTCGCAAGTAAAAAGATTAGAAGTAGGGATTTAAGATGAAAAAATCTTATTGTGTTTTCTTGTGGCTGTTTTGGCAAGATATACTATAGGTAATTATTATTTATGAGCGTTATTAAAGGTGTGTTGTGTATTGCTTTGTCTGGAATGTTCCACAGTACGGCATTAACCCTTTCTATCTTCACGGAGACCAAACCAGACCAAGTTACAGGTCAGATCTGTGGAGAGGCGACCCCGCTCACAGTCACAATACCCGTTTTTCTTGGTATTTTTGAGCTGTAAAACCACCTGTAATTGAATAAATGTAAACGTAGAGATGTTTAAAGTCACACTGTGGAACATTCCAGGCAGAGCAATGACGTATCCATAGAAACAAGAAGGTGATGAACCCTCCAGCGAAAACATAGAGCACGTTTAAGTAAAAGTACAGATACAGACGCAAAAGATGACTCAAAAAGTAAAAGTATCACGTGAAAACATAAGTAAAACTATTGAAGTACCTGTTTAAAAATGTACTTTAATTTAAAATGACTTTAAGTACTTCAACACAGTGCTCAAAAATAGATTTAACACATGTGAGCGGGGCTGCCTCTTCACAGACCTGACCTCCAGCTTGTCTCTATGGCGATATATATACGTTTAATACTATGGAACATTCCAGACAAAGCAATTGCATCTCTTAAATTATGCAGAGAACATTCAGGACATTGTATAAAAAGCAATATTAACATAATTCAGCCTTCGTCGTGTTTTGAAATTCCACATACAGTGAGGGTAATTGACCACATGTGACTTTGAACATTTGAATCTCATTTGCAAACTAAAGCACAAATAGACAGTTAAAGGTCTTATATTATGCAAAATGGACTCTTGTGAACTTTAGACTTTGTTATAATGTTTTTACCTCCTCAAAAAACAGACCTGGAGTTGTGTTTTGTTTCATTCACACATGTTTGAGTAACCCTTTATTATTAGTCTGTTTAAAAAGCTCAAAATGCTCTACTCCACCTTGTGACGTCATGTAGTGGTAGTTGCAGGGTTCCCACAGTCATGGAAATTGAAAATGGCATTTCACAGGCCTGGAAAAGTCATGTAAATTTGTAATTTCAGTGAAAGTTTTAGAAAAGTCATGGGATTTTAGTTCTTTCTCTTTTCACACAGACGACAATAAATGCACTGACAGTATTTTATTTTTTTTTTTTTGTTTTAAATTATTTTTTATTTAATATTAATATTATTTATTTAATTTTTTTTGCTTCTATACCATTTTTTTTCAGGGTTAATTGTCTCTTTTTTATATTTAATTTTTTTTTCAGCATTTTTGAAAAGATAAACAGCACATAATAACAGTTGGTAATAGTAGTTTATTCTGTCATTTTGCAGCACTACAAAACAAAACAAAACATAGACATAACATTGAACACGACATAGAGAGAAAAAACAAATTAGACAAATTGCATTCTATGTTATATATTACATTTAATTGTAAATAATGTTACGGCACATTCTGTCCAGCGTATGAGTCTCATTTGGTCCAATGTTTGTCAAAGAGGTCCATTTTCAAATTAAATTCAGATGCAATTTTTTTCAATTTTTTGAATTTCATTTATACTTTCTGACCAGTCTTTGATTAATGATGCAGTTTGTTTCATCCATTTTTTTGTAATGGCCTTTTTTCCTGCCGCCAGAAATACACTCTACAGATATCCACTGATTGTTTTTAGGCACAAGTACATCATTTTTTAAGTCAAGTGGGATGGTCACATTAAAAATAGATTGCAGTGCTTTGTTAATTTCTGTCTAATATTTATGGATCACGAGACAATCCCAAAACACGTGGTAACGGTCGGCATTTTGCACTGATAGTATTTTGAATGTTAAAAAACTATAAAACCAAACCATAAGGTGAGTGGAAAGTGTTAACATTTCATATTTAGCCCTAAAAGTCTGATCAATTCTACACGTTACTTCACTTGAGGTCATGAAAAAGTCATGGAAAAGTTTTGAAATTTTGTCAGTCAAAAAGAGTGTGAACTAGGGGTTTGCAAGAATTTTAAAATATCTATATATCGTATTGCCTAATGTGATAGATGAT